TGAGATCTTCCATCTGATCCACGAGTTAGAGTCAGAAGGAGAGACACGGGCATATGTGGAGTTTTGAAACCTCAAAACACCCTAGCAACAAGGCTGCACCTCATAATACTTCCCAAAATATAGTTCCACAAGCCTTGGCCTAACCCATTCAAATACAGAAGCCTATGGAAGCCATTCTTATTCAGGCCACAGATCATTGGTTTTTGTAGCAAACAGATACCCTTTATATATTTGTTACAGAGACAAAACTTGGCAATTAAGAGGAAGAAGATATTTTTGTCATGATGAAGCTCCTTTGGTAAAATGCTCTTGATATATTTTCTAGTAGAGTCAAATTTTTAATCTAAAAGCATCTCAGAACCAGTCAAATGTGTATTGTGGTAACTGAAACCTTGTAGAACATACCACAAAACATGGAAGATATATAATAATAAGAGGATGATGATACTTATGAAGAATTTTAGATGGGCATTATTTTGGGATAAGATTTTATTAAAAATAATCCCTTACTATTCACCTCAATACTTAAAAAGAAAGACTTTCAAATTCTGTCATGACTTAGACACTGTTTGACTACTGAGAACATTCTGGTAACACCAAAAGACTATTGTGTTCAGTTACTTTCGAGACCACATCAGTTTATGGAGCAAAAACACAAGTCCCACAAAACAGAAATGTCTTCCTTTTGACTGTGGTAAGTGGCTTATGTCAGAGTAGAGTCCTCTTGGAAAAAACAGTCAAATTCTCTTCCCCTTTTTGGCATGATGAACAGGAAATTTTCTCTCTCTCTCTCTCTCTCTCTCTCTCTCTCTCTCTCTCTCTCTCTCTCTCTGTGTGTGTGTGTGTGTGTGTGTGTGTACAGCGTGTGTGTGTGCTTGCGTGTGCATATACAATGTTTACATATTACAGTGAGGTGTGAGACTAGGGAAGATATTTAAGAGTCATAATTGATGCTTTGCTCAGTTCTCCATCCAACTCAGAGGGGAGTGCCAAGTGCTAGTATATGTTAGCGAGAAGAGCCTTTCTGCCACAAACACCTCAGGTACTATTTGCCAGCAGAATTTCCAGTTAATGCAAGTACTATGTAATAGAGATCCCAGAGACCCGAGTTTTAAAGTCGTGTTGATTTGCTCTCCTGCGCACATGGAATGAGTCGATAATCTTCCGCACAGGTGATTTGAAGGACATTGTGTTCAATAAGTTGTCTCTGAATGCCAAAGCCTTGTATCACCTCACTCAAATTTACCTTTGTCTTTATATAGGGAGATCTATTAAATCCTTCTCTTAAAAGATTTTTCATGAAATTAGATCGGAATAAAAAGGACTTTTTTATAATACTTTGCAGGCATCCAGTTGCACATATTTTTTTTTTCTCTATGAGTAGGTCATACACAATGCTTGAGTACTCAATGTAATTTCCTACTATTGGACACTTAATGAAATTCTCTACCATTATCTAGACTTGCTTTGCCCATTGCTTATGATAGGGCTAATAGCTCAGAGGGACATATCTCAGAACTCATACTCCATTGACCTGAAAAGTCTTCAACAAGGTCTGGAAGTTTTCCTCATAAAATAAAAGCATTCTCTGAACAATTGTCCTAATCTGCTGTCTGTAAACTAGTCTGCATGCTCTCCAGGGGGCACAATTTGTCCTGTAGTTTCTCTGCGTCATGTGGAACAGAAGGCTTTCCTATAACCATTTAAGAGTTTTAAAACCAAAGGATTTTTCAGAGACCAGGCTGAGAGATCATAATAGCACAGGTAGGGGCTCACTGATGAAGTGGAGAAAGAAGACAAGCCAGTCATCACACTGTGAGGCCTGGGTTGAGCTTGGACTTCCTCACTCCTCTGCCTCTCTAGAGATATCACTTATATGGGGAAATCAAAAGGATAGAAGGCCCACGTAGTCTATTCATGGTGGGGGGACAACGTCAAAAGAAAGGCAAGAGGATGCAAGTTTTGGGGGCGGGCAGGTCAAAGCCATTGATGAATGCTTGAGTGACAGGTGGTCCCTAGGATTATGGAATCTATGGCGGTGTGGAAAGCATAGCACAAAGCCAGTGCTTTCATGTTTGAGGGATGTCATTATTCAGTATCCTAAAATAGTATTTCATTCATTGGAAAATATTTTTTTCTTCTCTGGGTTTGGAAAGTACTGTTCACATTTTACCGTGTTTACCATGTTTTAACACCAGGGGACTATTTTGCTATTAGTTCTTTGGTAATTTCATTTTACCAGGTTTTGACCATACTCTTTCTCCCTCCTCCAACTCTTCCCAGAACCACCTTCTTTTCTGATGAATTTTGTTTCCTGTTTGTTTGTTTCTCCCATTGAGGCCAATTTATGCTTCCCACATATTTGTGCATGTGCGGTCTGTGCATAAAAACACAATTAACTTCTCAGAGGCTACACTCTTGGCAAAAACTGACTTCTTCTCTCTGTAGCTAATGCTTGCCATTAGCCCTTAGAGGAGGAGCTGCGTGAACAACCAGCCTCTCCATGCTGGCATATCCTCCTATGTGGACTTATATAGGTCTTCTGTGTGCTTTCACAATGGCCATGAATTCATATGTAAAGCTCCCTGCTGTGTTCCAAAGACACTATTTCCTCGTGGCCATCTACTCTCTCTGACTTTTAAGTCAATTATATACCTTCGTTTGTCTTTGGGGAAGGGGATACAACACATTTGTTCTCTTTCAAACTGATCCTTCTGCATTCTGTTGTTCTCTGCACCTGATGACTTGTGACTCTTAGTGTTCATCATTGTCAACTACAAATGGAAACATCTCTCATGAGGGCTGAGAGATATCTTACTCTATGGGTATAGTTATAAGTCATCAATAGCCAATTTAATACTATGTCTATTTAGCTAAATAATAGCAGCAGTTTCTCATCCATAGTCTCTGACCTGTCTAGCCATGGTTTATTTGCTTGATAGTGATGCCAGGTATGGGTTTCATGTGGAGTGAGCCTTAAGTCTTTCTGGTCGGATTTTACATTTGTGCTACTATTGCACCAATGCACATGTCTTCCAAGGCCAATCATTCTCACAGCTCACCAGGTTCCTGGCTGAGTGAGATTATCGGTTGCATTTTTTAACTTCTGGTAGTGTTCATAGCACTTCCCAGCACTATGAAAGCTAGCCAGTTGGGACAAAGCTTCCAGGTTAATATCAGCTTGATTTTTCCAGTTCTCTATTCCAGCAAATGGGTCTTATCATCAAGTTCTGGAAGGTAACCAAATGCATTATCAAAAGCTTGTGATATTTAGGGGCGGAGGGGGAGATCTTAAATATCTCATTGTCCAACAAGTCCAAAAAAAGTAATTCATTCCTGTCACTAGGCTTTTAATGAAAACAATTAAAACAGGGAAGACTTGATTTTGCAATATAGTGGTAGTTGAACAATCACTCCTGCTATTTTGTTTAAAATGTGATAGTTTTATAAGGTTGTATGCAGATGCAGAAGCTGCCCAATGTCCTCCAAGATCAGAGGTGCTCATGGGCCGGTCGCATTAGCCAGGCAGTGAGTTCAGTGGTAAGCCCAGTCTCAGAATATAAGGTAGGGAATGATAGAGGAAGATGATGACTACCAGTGTCTACACATGCATGCATGAGCTTACATGTATACAAACAACAGCAGCAGCAGTAAACACACACACACACACACATGTGCCTCCTCTGAAACACTTGTGAGTACTTAAAACCTTGGCTAGTGTTTGTACATCATTTGTCATTTTTGCCCCATACACAGGTTTGTTTCATTGCTCTGATTTTAAGTAAAATATATACTACGTAAGCTAATATGTGGAAAAATAAATATGCTTCTGTAGCTGACAAATATTGCTGGCTTAAAATCATATGGATTTGGTTTTATCTTTCAAGGATCTCAGACTTGGCAAATTATGGAGCTAATTAAATTTTCTTGCGGGGAATCAGCCAGCTAGACCACAGCCTTAGGCACATAACGACAGCTCCCCACTCTGCCTCACTTGCTTATTCTGTGTGTGAGATGAAGCTCTTAGAGCAGCAGAGGTAGAACACTCAGGCCAGCAGCTGCTTATGGGTTTCAGTAACTACAGAGTCAGCCTTTGAGCCTCAGCCCTGACAGCTCCTATCACAGAGGGGTGGCAGTGGAGGCACATCTCCCCATGTGAGTTGGCTGTAGATGACAATCTGCCAAACGAAAATAATTGAAAAAACAGCGGCTGTGTAAAAATGAATCGACTTGGCTGATCTCTCAGGGATTCTGAAAAATTCTAGGAATGCCACTCCATGTTTTTTCCGGAGACTGTTTACATGAATAGCATCCAGACATTTAACAAATAAAATCATCTGAGGCAAGGTTTTTTTTTTAGCAATTTCGTGCACACATCTGTGTTAGCAATTTGCCAGTCTTTGTATGTTGCAAAGGTATTGCTACTTAATTTTAACAAAATTTATGGCAGCTAACATACTGGTTTATATTTAATTTATATTTAATATATATACATATTCTGAATTAACTGATTTGATGAAAATAATTAAACCATTTCTCCAGGTTGCCAAGAAGGAAATCTGGACTTTTAACTCAATTTTATTACAACCCTGCATTCTTTCTATATTAGCTATTTCTATAGTACAATAACAGTTCTATGTTAAGACAGAGACGCATTTAAGTGTGATTATTTAAAAAATACTCAAGGGGAAAAGTAATGTATGTTTATGTCTGTAATGTATGTGTGTGTGGCTTTCTTGCATTTAATAAAGAGAAAGAAATTTACCCTTCTAAGACACCACATTAAAAATAAAATATGATTTTGTTTATGCTCCAGATAAATATTTACAAATAATAGGATGGAATGATGAAGATGATTACATATGGAAATGTAAAATAAGAACTAGCTCGTTCATTTCTTGGGTCAAAGTAAAGTACCACTCTCAGCGTCTACATCCTCGATGTCTACATGCCTAACTACATTTTTAAATAGTAGCTTTTCTCTTTATTCTTTCCTACAGTTGGACAGCGTCACCTCCCTGATCCAGGCAGCAAAAAATTTAATGAATGCTGTAGTGCAAACAGTGAAGATGTCGTACATTGCTTCCACCAAGATCATCCGCATCCAGAGTGCGGCCGGGCCCCGACACCCAGTTGTCATGTGGAGAATGAAGGCTCCGGCTAAAAAGCCCTTGATTAAAAGAGAGAATCCAGAAGAAACGTGTGCAGCTGTCAGAAGAGGCTCAGCCAAGAAAAAGATCCACCCCGTTCAAGTCATGAGTGAATTTCGAGGGAGAGATGTCTACTGAAGCCCTAGTCCACACAAGTGCCCACTGCCACACCCCAGGCCAACCACACTGCTCTATCGCACAGTGCGCTTTGATTTCACATAGTCACACTCATACATAACATAAAACTTTGGGGTTGGGCCATGGTTCACAGTGTGTATTTGGGTTCCTGCCATTATCATCTCTCTATAGCCAGCACAGCCCAGCTAACTTACAGGTAGTACTAGGGAATAGAATTCACTTGTATCATCTTAGCCTTGCCCTCCACAGGGAATAGCTTATGAACATTACAAAATGTTTGGGTTTCATGCACTCTTTATCCTTGTGAGGGAAGCCACTTGTCAGAAGCGTTTCACTTGCCTTTCATTAAACCCAAAAGAATTTTATCAACTATTTTCCCAATTAGTGTCCATACTTTCTTCAGCAGACCTAACCTGGTACCTAACCTGCCAGAGATGTGTCGTTTTTGCCCATTAGAAAGAAATTTCAATTTCTAGATATTCCTGCCCATTATTAGTTGCTCAGGTGACTATAACCAAATGTGTATGGTCAAGCTTCTTACTAGAATTTGAAAGTCAGCCACGTTATTAAAGAAGTACTTTGGAGACACTCCAAGGCTGAGAGACTTTGGATGCTGTTTCCACCTTTTGTTTCTAAGGTGTTCAGAAGGTCGGTACTCTTCATGTTGTGCCTGGCCAGGCACACATATGTAGAGTTAACATCCATTGCAGAAATGAATATTTGTTTATTGATATTTTTTCTTTGGTACTGGGATCCAAGCAGCATTTCACATGCAGGGCAAGGACACATCCAGCCCTTCTGTTAGAGAAATGAGTCACTGAGTTAGAGCATAGAGTAAGTCGACGATGGAGGACGCGAACGGAATTTTGCATGATTCTAAAAATCTCTTTGAATCTATTTGCAATTGTAATTAAAATGAAAGACCAGTTTGCAAAGCCTTGTGGCACTGAGTGAAATCTACCACCCAACAATGAAGCTGAGTTAATCACAACGAGTTTGCAGTGATTTTAATAATAAATGTTACTGGGGTTATTCTGTATGTCCATTGAGTATGATTATCTATAGCTGAGTCTATGACGGACTCTGGAGTAGTCTGAGAGTGTGGTGCATAATTTTGATAGCCCTTTGTCTTTCCATCACTTCTTCCTCCCTTTTATTTCCTTCTCTGTCTTCACACGCCGCTGTGTATAAGCTGTGTTGGAGGAGAGACACTTCAGTTTCACCATGCCACAGTCCAAGGATGGTTTTTCCTTTTATTCCATTTTACTCGATCAGATCTCCTATAATTAAAGCTCTTCACTTTTAGAACACTGCTCTTGAAAAGTCATTTTGACACTTTCAATTTATCAATTAATATTTCTATATGTAACGTAAGTTGATGTTAAGAAGGCCACTTGTACATGAAGCAAAAGGATTTATAAATGTTGGGAATTCATTGTTTATTGTCTTGAACAGAAAAGAAAAGAAAAGGTCAGCAGATAATTCTGTTACTGAGGTGAATATTAACTCTTTTAATATATTAACTTATTTCATTCTTCAAAAGTTCTAGGGTGGTTGCCTGGGATCTTTATAAAACTTTGTAGGAGCTAGAGGAAGTTCATTCATTTCTTCCCTCACCATGCATTAAGGACTTTTCCATAATAATAATTACTCTGGACAAAGTGTGTTCTCACAATGAGAAGCAGAGAAGAAGGGCATTTGGTCTTCCAGGCAATGTTGGCATAACTGAGACAAATAGATGCCCTCTGTTATTGAAATGCGACCATAGTATTCTGTACTCACTAGAGATTAAATTTTAGCATGGACTTCTCTTGGAAACGATATAGATGTATAATTTGGGGAACAATAAATTTCTTAAAAATAGTCCAAAACAACCACATAACTAGCTTTATATACTAGGTCTTGCTTGACCTTACAAAGACCAGAATCATAAACCTTCTTTGCAAATCTACTGTCCCTTTGGCCCCACATCATCCTTCTACATATTGGAACTTAGCATGTGCTATTGGAAGAAAATAATAAAAACAGAAATAATTTTAAATGATACAAATACCAGAAAGCTTTACTCAAAATGAGATATAATCGAGGCCTTCACTTTGGTACAGTTTTCCAGCTAAGCTCAAAATAAATAGCTATAATTAAACAAAACAATAAAATTTCCGACTTGGCAAATGCCCAGGGAGTACATTTTTTCTGCAGCAATCAAAGGTGTAATAAAAAACATGAGGCATAAAGCTGAGCAGGACATCTGTCTACCTGAGAAACACCTGCAGTGACAGTATATTGGCTGGATTCAAACAATGGGCAATGTGAATGTCTACAGATAAAGAACTGGTGAAAAAGTGCTTACAAATCTTGCAGCACAGAGCACAATTAGATAAGTCCGGACAATAAGTATTCTATATAGGTATTTATATGGAGGCATTTCTTCTGCAGTGGAAATCTGGGAAATTTTTAATGGGAGTGATAGCTTGATAATTCAGTCTACAGCTTTGGAAATCACATCACATTTGCTTGACTTTGCTAGTGAAAAACTCACCTGTCCTTTCTAGTGGAATTAATTTCAGTTCTCTCACTTAGAAATATGTACTAGAAAAGGAGATTTATACTATCTCTAAGGACAGCTCCCTCTCTGCTTCACCATCTGCACTGTCACCAAGCATGATGTTAGGTTCAAAGTATTCTAGATTCAGAGTAACTTGGAAAACCATAAGGTCATCAAATATAAAAGTTGATAAGTATAAGTTCCATATTCTACGTGCCAGGTTATACTATGTCTTTCTATTAAAGTTTCTAGAAATTTTTGATTAAATCCAGAAATTAGGAAAGCGTCAGATTTCAAACTACATGGTATATCATTTTTTTTCTTTTCCTCTTAGGGCTTGAGTGTAGCTTCTGAATGTGCGAGGCGGTACATTATAGTCCTAATATTCCCATGTACCATCTGTGATTGCGAAATCTCTTAGCATCAGTATAAGATGTGTGTTCCTCATGAAGTCTCATGGAGGAAACTGTGGCTGAACACCGAGGCCTATTCTGATAACCTCTCATTGCAGGCTAATTTCAACGATCAACTTTCAACTCGTTATAAACGAAAAACCTAAAACTGTGACTATGTAATTAAGTTTCCACTAGGGCCTCCGAGTCTCTTAATAATAATGCTCCCCAGATTCAAGAGCAAGCTGCTGAAAAGGATAAGCTTCGACAACAGGAAAGATGAAACTGGGTTCTTAAACCTTCACTTTAAGGACTGGAGAGATGGCTCTGGCAGTAAGTGCTCGCTATGCCAACATGGAGCTCTGGCTTGATTACCTATACCTGCATAAAAAGCCAGGTAATGGGGGTACCCTTATAATTCTAGTCCCAGATGGAGAAGGTCCCTGGAGCTGCCTGGCCAGCCAGTCCAGCCAAATATGCAAGTTCCAGGTTCAGTGAGAGACTTTATCTCAAAAAGGTAAAGTGGGGAGTGATTGAGGAAGATATACAATATTGACTTGTAGATTCTACATCCATTCACACATATTAATGTGTATCAACACACACACACACACACACACACACACACACACACACTGCCTCACTCACCTCACTTTCTAGGTGATCTCATCTTACCTAACCTTGCACTCAGCATCTTCTCAAATGTCTACAATGTTTTGTTAGATGACAAAGTCAGGCAGACATATCTAAACAAACTACAGAGTTACTGCCCCTTGCCAAAAACCAAGCACCAGCCCTCTCCCCAACCTCTCTTCCTGGTTGGTTACCCCATATGTAAATACACAAACATATTCTTCAGGACTTTAAAGTCATAGTTCAATTTTCACCAGAGTCATTCCTTCACCCTTTCTACTTCCCCAAGCATTCTGGTCTTCGTTGGTGTCTCATTTTGATGCTGGGGATTGTAGTTCCCATGGATACGGACTTCTGCACTGTGGCAATGTGAGAGAAATGAGATCTGAGAATTTTCCTGGTGAAATTGACCATTCTTTATCGTATTGTAATAAGCAATTCTCTGGGCAGACAAAATGGGCACCAGAACCTGAATTTGAACGAAATCCGCATGTTTTAATCAGCCTGTCCTTGGTTCAGATGGCCTACCTAATACACAGTCAGTAATCAAACAGCCATTTTTGTTGTAAAACCAGAAAGTGTTCTGTTATTAAGAAATCACATTCACCCAATTAAAAAGAATATAGCTTGCATGCTATTTCAACATTTTCAAAGTAGGAAAATGGCTGCAGCATCAGATGTATTTATCTGTATATCACACATCAGGGGACAACATTTATTCAGAAGAAAGGACTGCTTCTTTTACGGCTCTTTTCACAAGGTTACTGCTATGTCTTCAACTTTGTGACAAACAGCTGAGGTTGCTATTTAACAGAACATGTTAACCTGACTGCCAGCTTCTCTCAGTATCCTTCAATCCCACCCATTACAGGGTATAGCTAGTGTACCCTGTCCCCGCTTTGTATCCTGATCTCTCTAGCCCAGAGGCTGAGCTGCCCTACCCCAGTGGCCCTTCCCTATATAACCCAACATTTTGGCTACCCTGTTCCCCTCTCTTCCCTCTCTTTTCCCCTCTGCCCTCTTTCCTCAGGCTGTCCAGGGTCATTTCCACTCTGGACTCTCCCAGATGCCCTTTCCCTCAGATTATGCTCTCCTTGTATCCACAGAAAACATTCTCTTCTACCATATCTAGGAGCAGTCATGTCCTTTTTCTTTCTTATTTTCCCCCATTCAGTTATAGAAAGTTTCAGATTAGGATTTTGTATGTTGACACAAAATAACAAAGGGTCTAGAGTCACTCAAGATGTGCAAAGTCGTCTAAGTTTTCATTTTGAGCCATTGGGTAAAATTAGGAAAGAGAACATGTATGCTATTAAAAGGGAGTGTATGTAGCAGGACGTGTCATAAGTTAAGCTTGTAGGTGTTACCCTAGATGTTAGAAATATAGAGAGAGGGCTAGAATGAGAGGCCTAAATGCTTCTTTTCTTAAGCAAACCACATAAAAATAAACCTTTTTCTTAAGAGAAATATGAAGTAGTTTAAAACATGAATCATTTTACAAATGAACACACCCTAATAAAGTCCAAAAAACCCTCCCTTGAACAATCCACAATAAATAAGATAAGACTAATAGAAACTGTGACTCCAAATAGTACCCAGTCCGATGAGACTCTCGTCTGTAGGCAGTAGGCGCTTGCTCTGTGGGACTAACCTTCTTGCCCGTCATGGGAAGATGAGTTACTCATGCTGTATGGTGGTATCCCCAGTGGGAAACTGCCCCACTGGGATCAAAACACCAGGGGGAAAAAAGAAGTGTAGACAGTCTATTTCTATGGAAACATGAATAAAGAAAGGCCAGAAAGAGAAGGGAATGCAAATATTACTTGCAGAAATAGATAACTTTTAGAGATAGTGTGTGATGGAGATGGGGGCAGTTTGGGATTCTATGAGGATTAAGTGGACTCATTATGAGGAAGGTTTAAAGAGTTTTAGGGATAGGATTGGACATTTGTCTTGCTGTCTTGTTAGTTTGCTAAGGTCATGTCAGAGGCAAAAGAATGATCTAGATACATCTTGACTATGGTTTAGTAATAGTTTACATGATGTTTCTTAATGCTTTAGGAAGCATACATTTAACCATTCTCCAGCCGATGCCTGAGTCCATTCCCGGCGCAATGCCCAACAGCGTAACCAGCCACTCATCTAACAACTCTTCTCCTTAAGAAGCAGTGATCCTCTAAGCACTGTTCCAGGTTCTGTGGTCACAGCAGCTGACAAGGCAATGATCTAGGTCCTAGTGTCAGCTCTGTGACCTGATAGCCATCACTTATGTCATATTCACAACCATCCTGTAGGAGGTGCATCCCCTTCACTTCACAGGTAGGAAAAATGGAGGATCACAGAGGGTGATTGTGTTTGGGGGATTTATTCTAAGTTCTAAACTCTTAGCCATTATACCAGTTACTCTGTTTGTGAAATTAGTCTAAAATTTTCTGTTGCTAACAATGCAATCCACATTTTAA